GATGGCTGTGTTTAACAGATTGGCTCATAGGTGTGGTAATTTGACTGGCAGTGCTTTGGAATTGCAAGGAAGTGACATCATGATATACTTCTGTGTCTGATGTATTCAAGTGTGTTTAGTGTTTTGCAAATCACTGTGTGTAATGTTTTGCAAATAGTGTGAAGCTGACAATGTGCTTACAGTTGTGCAAATCTAGCCTTGTGTTTTGCTCCTTGAGTGTAAGGTTTTGCTAATTGTTGGAAAAATTTAATTTTAGTGTGTAAGCAATCGTAAAAACTGTAATGAAGAATGTTTTAATAAATACACTGGAAATGTCATTAATAAAGCCAATGCATTTCATAGTCATATTGTTAACCTGTTTTGATTCACTAGGGGTTTGTACAGGTCAGTTTGAGGTTCAGAAACCAGAATGTCCAGCACTGGTCCAGCACCCACAAACTCTTCAATGTTCGTCATCCAGTTTCAGCAAGCAACACAAGCGACACCTGTTACGACGGTGATAAATGCTCCGGTGCCTGTTTATGCACAACACGGGGCTGGAGTTTCACCTCTTCATGGACTTCAGGCGTTTCTGAAAGGCCAGCCGAAAGCTCTTGGGGTGAGACATTTCTCATAAACCTAAATAATTGACCTTTCTGTGTGTATATATTGCCTTGAGGACTAGGTGCCTAGATTTATCATTTACAGAGTAAAATAGTCAACTTTACAGTGCATCAGTCACAGAGAAGAATGTTTTAGGAGTTGCAAACTATCAAAAAAGTGAAGTAATGCAATCTTGTAAATCTGCAAATACAGTGACATTTACACATGATAGTTCCACACTTGCAGAATATATTTTTGGGATATTTTTCTTATACATAACTACAGGTGCCATAAGCTGATAGTGTATTTTACATGGCTCCGTCTTTATGAAAGAATCTCTCGTACATTCTTGTTTTAAAGCAGACGGTACAGATAATGATCGGTGTGCTGACTCTCCTGTTTGGCATTGTGTCTACAGTTCATGCACAACTGGTCTTTGTCATTATTGGTGTTCCTTACTGGGGATCTCTCATCGTAAGAAACAATTATACAATTAAGTGTTCTGTCTTTTATAATACAAGCTACATATTCCAATGCAAGCCTCTCTCTCTCCTCTCAGTACATTACTGCAGGCGCACTCTGCATTGCTGCAGAAAATAACATTCATTCACCCTCCGGTTTGTGTTTGGTACGTACACAGCCACTGGTGCTTGGACCATGATTATTATTATGTTTTATTTATTTATATCAAGTAGTGTACTTTTTAAATCACACTCCAGATACTTTTCTGTCTACATTAACATGTTAACACAACGTTTGAAAGTTCTTGCTAATTCATTGATTGGGTTTAGGTTGTTGTTGTTTCTGCCTATAGGTGAATGCTTCACTTGGAATGAACATTTTCAGCACTTTAACCGCATGCATCTCCATTATTTTTATTTCACTGGATTTGGTTATAGAGCCATACACTTTCTGCACCAATCAAGACTGTAATGTATTAGTGAGAATGTATAAGGTATGTCATCAACTTTTATATTCACATTTATTTAGTAATTACTATAAGAGCACTGTGTGGTCAGTACACAAGTTCACTCAAAAATCTACTTAACCTCAAGCCAATCTAGGTGTATATGACTTTATGATACATATATAATATTTCCATATGAACCCCAGGGATGGTAGATTCTGGACTGCTGAGCATTCAGTGTACCAGTGTGAGTAGTAATTATCACTGATTGTGTTACTTTTATTTGTGTTAATGTTGATATTTCTCTCAGACGCTCTTCAGTGGAATCAGAGTCGTGCTGCTGTTATTCGCCGTGCTTGAGTTTATCATCTCCATCTGTCTGTCAGTATTTGCCTGTAAAACCAAAGCCTGCTGTTGTCCTCCTCAGGTGAGCAATGAGCCAAATCAGGGGTTCCCAAACCTCAGGCTTTTACAACTGCTTTACACTTTCAGGCTAGGCTTTCTCAAGCCAACCTAACTAAGGTCTTGGCTAACTTTTTAATCTAGTTTCATTTAATGCCGCTTTTGCAAATGAGGATGTTTTCAAAAGTAGATTTAGTCAGATTTAGTTCCTGTTAACACACACGCTAACTGAAATATGTTCTGAAAACCTTTTTCATAACGTTCCCATCAAGTTTTGAAAACATTACTTCTCTGAATGTTCAAAAAGATCAGTTTAAAAACATTTTTTTCTTTGTTATATGAACATTAAAGAACCATTTTATAATTTTCACAAATATTATGGAACTTTTTTTGAACTTTTGAACGTTACTTTTGAATTTTTTAAAAACGTTCTGAAACAAGTAACATTCAAAAAAACGTTAGATGAACGTTCAACTAAAATGTTTCAGGGCAAAACATTCCACGAATGCTGTGTAAATAACATTTTGAGAACATTAAAGACCAGAAAACTCTAAATGAACATTGCTAGAGAATGTTTCTTCATAACTTTGAGAGAACATGATCAGAACATAGCTGGGGCTCACATTAACTAAACAAGCATGTATATAGTCTTTCATATAAAACTAGTTGCAACTGATTAACTCAAACTCCAATGTCCGGATGCATGGGAGGTGCTGTCAGATTTAGCTCACTTTCTGATGACAAATTTATCCTTAAAGTTTAGATAAATAAACAGACACACATAAGAGCACAAATATTTGAAAACGTTCACTAAGGCCCTCAGAAATAAACGCAACCCACAAACACACATTAAAACCTCTTCGGTCAGTCAGATAAACCTGCTTTGTTGAGGTTTAGTACCTCTTTTTCATATTAATCTTATCTGTAAAAAGAAAAAAGCCCTCATAGTGGATTTAAGAGACCGAATGAAGTAATTAAAGAGGCAGATGAGAGGCAAAAGAGGAACAGACAGCGGAATCGGTGTTGACTAATGCTGAAGGACAAACACCACAGACTTGAGCAAGAGTCTTCTGAGAAATGCCACTTCTCCCATTCACTGTCCTCTTGTGTTTTTCAGAAACGAGACGGGGACATTTATCAGGTACTGTGCTGTTATTGTGCTCCGTTGTGATGAGTCAGTGATTTCATGTGCACTCTTAAAAATAAAGCTGCTTAAAAGGTTCTTCACAGCGATGCCATAGAAGAACCATTTTTGGTTCCACAAAGAACCATTCAATCAAAGGTTCTTTAAAGAACCATCTCTTTCTTACCTTTTTATAATCTGAAGAACCTTCGGTAACACTTTCTATTAAGCCCATATTTATAATACATTATAAGGGTATTCTTAAGGCATTATAATGAATGCATAATGCATTATAAAAAAACTTATAATATGTTATATCAACTCATGAATAATCATAACAACAATTATAATACATCATAATACTTATGTATTTGTGGTTATGTTTAAGAGTATGATTATTTATAACACACAATGAACACCATATTAAATCTACTTCATTTACAGAATAATGGACTGTATCATATCTTGACATTGTTTATTTAAGATCTGCACAGTATCTTACTACAGCTTGTGAGTGGTTAGATGTTGAGTGTTATTTGAGTGTTTGCTGTGGAGCTAATGTTAATTAATTGATGTGAGCTTTATACTCCAACTGAAAAAAATGCAATGTTTTATATGGTTACATTTTATTTTGATGGTCCCCTTAATCAATCGACTATAAGCAACTTTGCAACTACATGCCAACTAACTCTCATTAGAGTATTAGTATGCTCAAGAATGGTAGAATCTAGTATGGTAGAATAAGTTGACGTACTTGCAAAGACACTTATAGTCAGTTTATCTGTTGGTTGACCATCAAAATAAAGTGTTAGCAAATATTTACAGTAGCAGACATACTAATACTCTAATGACCGAGTCACAGAGTCGAACTCCGTGATTCCCTCTTCCGACCATCAGAGGGCTCCCTCACCCGAATATTGACTCTTACACTCTCACACTACATTTCCCATCAGCCCCGTATCTGGCACTGATCACCTAGCCCAGCTGTAGCCCATCAGCTGGCCTATATAAACAGTCTGTTCCTTCCAGCTCATTGCGAAGTCTTGTTTTACTGCGGTTTACATTTCTGAGCGTTTTTCTCTGTTTTGCCTGCCTGTTGTGACCCTGTCTGTACCTCGTTGATGATACTCTGCTAAAATCCATTTTATACAATCCGCCTTCATTTAGCAAGTGCACTCGCGCATAAACACTTTTTGTTCCATTCAGTTGTGGATGCTGCTGATTCACCGAGACCGCCGCGGCTCAGCAAAGAGACGTGTGTGTGTGTGTGTTTTCCTTTGAAAAAGTTTCCCCAGAAATACCTCTGTCAGACTCTGTCCCATGTTTTGTGTGTGTTTTTCTCTGTGACCCAGTTTCTGTCTCCCGCGTATTCAGTTAATTTCTTCCCAGGTGTTTCCCATGTGTAATTTCCAATGATCCCATGTGTCTCCTTAGTCCCTCGTCATCATGTGTTTAAAAGTCTGAGTCCTTTTAGTTAGTGTTGTCCGGTATTGTGAATGTCACTCCCTTGTGCTACGTGTGATTCCCCGCGATTGAAATAAACTCATTGGTTTGTACTCCTGGTCTCCTGGTTTCCTCGTTCCGTGCTCCTCACAGTAGCAAACCCGTGACAGAATACCGGACCCAAAACAGAAAGTGAGTGGCAACTTTTTCCTCGTGTTTGTTTTTTCCGCCGTTTAGAAAAGTTTTTGCTTTTCTTGTTTTCCCCGCGGCTATGGAAATTGCCGCTCGCTTCTCCGCCCTAACTCGCCTCGATCTCCCCTTTGTCGAGTTTTACTGGGAGTTCTGCCGGCTCGCCGCGGCTACGGCCCTCGATGACGACACATTCAACTCGCTGTTTTGGCACGGGGCCAACTACCATCGCCCCGTGGACCTCCCAGACACCACGGGACTGAGCTGGAGGGAAGGAATCCTCCAGTGTCTGGAGAGCGTCCTGCCCCGAGCCAGAACCAGCCCACCGGCCACGGCGAGGTCAAGCCTGCCGCCGTCCGGGGCTCTCCCAAGTCAGCCAGCAGTTCCCGAGTCAAGTCAGCTGGCAGTTAATTTGGCAAGCCCAAAGGACGTTAATGTGGCAAGCCCAAATGACGATAATGTGCCAAGCCCAAAGGACGTTAATGTGGCAAGCCCACCAAGTGTTCACGTGGGCCCAGTGTCGGTTCCAGCCCCAGTGCCCGCTCCTCGTAAGCGCCTTCCAGAGCGCTCTCAAGTGCCTGTTCCCCCAGAGCTCGCTCCAGTGTCGGCTCCAGCCCCAGAGCTCGCTCCAGTGTCGGCTCCAGCCCCAGAGCTCGCTCCAGTGTCGGCTCCAGCCCCAGAGCTCGCTCCAGTGTCGGCTCCAGCCCCGTAAATTTCCCCAAGTATTTTTTTTGGGGGGGGTGTAGGGCTCCAGCCTTAGTGCTCCGCCATGGCCTCCCGAGTATCATGCTCCGCCATGGCATCCCGTGTCCCCTGATCCGCCATGGCGCCCCGAAGGGGTACTGCTCTAGAGGCCCACTGTCCCGTGTCTGTCCTGAGGGACCTCCAGAGCACCCACCCCCCCTCCCCATTGTATGTTATATGGCGTGAGGACACGCCTTCCGGAGGGGGGCGTTATGTCAGATCAATGATCCCATGTGTGTCTCCTTAGTCCCTCGTCATCATGCGTTTAAAAGTCTGAGTCCTTTTAGTTAGTGTTGTCCGGTATTGTG